GAGGATTGCCGGTGGTAGTATCTGACCGCAAAAGCGTGTACAAAGCAGTACAGGAATTCAAAGCGACATACGAACAAGCTGTAATCCCAAACAAAAGTTAGGTCGAGATGATCACTGAGCGCTCACATAGTACACTTGTTGCCCTATAGGCGTCCCTGAGGGGAGAAGGCAGGTCCACCCACCGCTGATCCCAGAAGTTACAGTGGAGTCTTCCCTAACTTGTCACCATTTCTTAGCTTACATACTTCCATATTCTTTTATTTATATTCCTACCTTATACAACTTTTTCACTATGCCTTCACTTTCAGGGGAAGCTTGAGTGTCTTCAGTCATACGTCTCAGTGAGGGGTGCTTATACCTTTGGGTGAGGATCATGATAGAAGCAGCGATAACCTTTGGATGGAGATATGTTTCAGTCCAAGGAGAGTGATTTTGCCAAGGATGCTGATTCAACAGTGGGATATCTTCCTTTATCTCACTTGGTTTTCAGCTGCTGTGTGGATTATCAGCTAGAAAATACCTCCTCTGCAAGGGTTTTGCCAGAGCCTGGCTGCAGTGTCTCCACTCCCCTCCAACCTTTTGTTTAGTCCTCCTTAGATTGTGTGTGGGAGGTCGGGGATGCTCACCACATCCCATCCAGGGAGTAGCAACCATATTTTCCACTATGATTTCCATACAGTTATCGTCTTACCTGCAGTCATCTTCCCACACAAGGGCTACAGGAATTCTCCTGCAAAATAAGAGAGGGCTGAGAGAAGTGAGGGATCCAAGCTGTGGCATACACAAGAAGGGATGTGACAGCTGGAATCTTGCTTGAGACCCACAGAGCAGGGTCAAACCCAGCACTTCATGCACTGAGCAATGCCATGACATGGCCTTGAGAGGAAACACATTTTTTTCCTCCTGTTCTTCCTCCAATTGCTGCATTTTTCTTTCATGGAATGCCAGCTTATCTAACTGGGAGAGATTGGTCTGTATCTGTGAAATCTTTCAGGCCAGGCATGGCTTTTGGCCAACCACAGCTTCACTGACTGCAGCTGCATTATTTCTTAAAATCAGGGGCAAAGGATCCTCATTCTGACTATAATCAATATGCACATGAAGAAGAGAAAGGCAGAACCAGACATGACTATTGTTAGAGGCCAATCCTCATCTCATCCAAACTTCCTCCTCCACTCTCCAGCTCTTATTATACACTTATAATACTGTAAACAGATGTGTAGCAAAAGATGCTAAAAATTCCCTATGTGAGAATCATACATAGAAGCAAACATTTAAAGGAAAACATTTCAGACAAGTAGTTTATTTACTTACAGCACCCCTCTGGTAACAGCTTTTTACCCCATGAAAGCTGCCCTGGCCTTCCTACCTCCTACCAGCATGTTTCCATTTTCCCAGTGACATTCAAAACACCTTTGCCTTTGGCCATCAAATGATGACAACACATTATGAGCATTGTGTCTTTAATATATATTTATAAACTTTAATCTGGTTCTAAATTACCACGTATCCCTCCCTCCCTGCCAAGCACACAAACAGACTCCTCCAACAGATCACTGTGTACTGCCTGTTGCATCTATGCCTAGATTCTCTCTTAAAGGGACATGAGATACTACCAGTGCACAGACACAAAATTCACCACTTCTACCTTTACAGGAGCATGCTTGTCATGGCAGGCAAAAAAAAAAGGGCTTTTTTCCTGCATATTTTTTTTTTCTGGGACCCTACAGGTGAGCAGACCAGCAAAGTAATATGTCAAAGAAAATTTTGGCCAGAACTGCACTCTTGCTCTCCAAACACATTGCATCCTGCTCTGCCAATCCCTTCAAATTTTAATTGAAAATATGTAATTGCATGGCATCTTAATGTATGCCAGTAACCCTGAAATTTTCCTGGGAAAATTTGAAGCAAAAGCAACTCAGGCAGGAGTTCCACTTGTGTGTTTTATTTCCCTTTTGCTCAAGGACACCAAGTCCCAGCAGAGACACAGCTTCACCCATATCTGACCTTTGTAACAATCACAGGTGGTCAGTACGATGTTCCTCCAGAACATTTCCAACACCCCAGACAGGCCAGCAGTCCTTAGTGCATATTTCTCAGCCCCTCAGTATTTGGTCCCTGAGCATGGTAAACTCATGTTTGCTCCCCCTATGCATTTGCTTTTGTATCTTAACAAAGGTGCTGCATGTGCAATACCAGAGGCTCTCGTAAGATGGCATTGACAAAATGCTGAATAGCACAGAAAGGCTGACAGCTAAACCACGTTTGCTAAGAGCTTACCCAGTTTGAGCTGCCTTTTCTCTTTAGTTTAGGATGTTACTAATTACAGCTTGTGCTCAGTTCACTGTTCTCAGTCTCCTTCCCTGGTTACAATTTAGTGGCTCAAAAGGACCTGGATTTCACCCTGGCCCTTGGGAGAGCAGCAGAGGGTGAGTCCTGGGGCTCCACAGCCAGCCCGAGCCTCACCACTGCCTGGGATTCCTAGGTCTGGAGGAGGAGATGAGGAAGAGCTGCAGATCTGGAGGAGGAACACATGAATAGGATAACAAATGTTTATTGACATTCGTCAAATCAAATCCTTGTAGCCCCAAATATGGATACTAGCTGAAGTAGGTTGTATTTTATCATAGCTCAAGCAAATTTACCACAACTAATCATTCTGTTAATTTCAGGAAACTTCCCAGGATCTGATCAACACTAAAACAACCCTTGTTTATTTCTTTCAAAGTCTGTAGTCTGGCTATGTATAGAATCATAGAATTGCCTGTGTTTGAGGCAACCTTAAAGATATCTTATTCCACTCCACTGCCATGGGCAGGGACACTTTCCATTAGATCAGGTTGCTCAAAACTCCAGCCTGGCCTTGGACACTTTCAGGGATGGGACATCCACAGCTTCTCTGGGCAACCTGTGCCAGTGCCTCACTACTGTCTCAGGCAATAATTTATTTCTAATATCTAATCTAAACCCATTCTCTTTCAGTTTAAACCAAATTAACACATTTAGCATTTCTTCAGATGATTATTGTGTCTTCAGACCACCTTCAGAGCAAGGTTCAAAGAGTAAAAGCTCTGAATTTCTGCATCATTTTCATCGCCTGCATGCTTAAAATGAAAGTGAAAATTTAATATATATATATATATATATATATACATATAATGATACGAGGTTTTTATCACTTTCTTGTTAGTCTAATTCAGTTTTTTTTTTCCTGGCTTAGTATTTTAGGATGAGAACAAGCCGAACAGTCTTAAATCTGGGTCTGCCTCTAGTAGCTGGGCCACAGAAGACAAAACTATTACTGCTCCTGTCTGCTAAGGGAACTGCATCCTCTACAGGCATATGGGGGAATGGCATCAATCCTGGGAAAGGAAAGCCAGCCTGCCTTTACTGCATGAGAAGTGCAACTTTTCATATCATTGCTGAACTGGGGGAGCTGCCAGGCAATGAGAAAATGACAGAAAAGTAACGTCACTGATAGAGCTTTGTATCAGCACTTTTTAATTGTACAATTGTTTTTGAGGTTAAATTCTTTCTCAAGGAAACTGATACTGTATTAATAGCCTGGGAAACGATGTTTCTGGTCTCTTCTAGATAACAGGAAAGAACTTCCTATTCTTACTAAGTATAAACGATACCTACCTACTAAAACTGTAGATTCCATGACACAAGAACAAGTAAGGAAATTTGGTTAAAATAAACAGCCTTTCTCCTTCAACATATTGAGCACAAGGCTGTATTCTCCCGGCCATAGGTGAAAATGTCCAGTAAGGTCAGGTAGATGTAAGACAAACTATTCCACTCATCAGAGTACTTCACACTGTGAATGTAATTTGACAGAATGTTGACATTTTGGAGCTTTAGAGGCATGACTGAGTCCCTGGGTCTCTGGTTTTGCTATTTAACATGTATGAAACACAATACTTTCTTCTTGTTTTGAACAGTTATTCATCAGATCTTCTGTAGTCTTACGGAGTCAACATCTTTTTTCAATCACTGTCAGTCATCCCCTAATTTCCTTGCTCTTCTCTATCAGTCCCTATGTGTCATATCCTGCTGTAATTCAGGTCCAGCTGAAAGTAGCACACTCACACATGACAGCAGCTTACATTACTTACAAAGTAAGTGATTACTTACATCCTTGTCCACAGCCCACTCACATTTGGCTCCATTTTGAGCAGCACACAGTGTGACTTTGCACTGAGTCATGCTCTGGAGTCCAGCATTACCTCAACCCTGCACAATCCTGACATGAAAATGGAAAGTGGGGCAGCAGCAAAAGCTTGGTCTGGCTGGAAACTGGGAATGTAATCCCAGTAGTTTCCCCTCTGAGAGACGAGACACCCTCTGAGGAAAGGACTGTGCCCTGAGAACTCAGTGAAGAACAGAACTGAAGGATCTTGCATCTGCCTCTGGAGAGGCTTCTTTGGAGTTGCTGCCTGTGTAAGTTTTCTTTAATGCTTCTGCATGCAGAGCCACATCTCGGAGCTGTCATCCTCATCATGCAGCCAGGGAGCTGCAAAAGTGTCAGAAGCAACACTGCTCTGCAGCCACCACACAAGAGCAAAGCCCACGCCACCCCATCCCACTCCACACCAGCAAATCAGCATGCTCATGTTGTCTTTTATCTTTTAGACCCCAACAGCTGCTGGTTCTGCCCACCACCCAGCCCCACCACCCGGAACCCTCAAAGCACTTACACTGTCCTGGAGGACTTCCAACTCCCCACACAGACTAAAGCTTGTCCCAGAGATGTAGCTCAGCAGAAGCACCAGGAGATAACTGTGTTACAATCAGAATTTGAGATGTTTCCACAGCCACACCATTGATGAGCCCCATGTTTCAATCCCCTTTCCTGACCTTGCATCACTTCTCAGCATGCATGGCTCTAATCTGGCCGTGTGATGGAGCTGCTGCTGACAGCTGGATGTGTGTCCTGGGTCTTTTCCAAGTGCCAACCCTCTGCTTGCTCAAGCCACACAGGGATGCCTCCCTGCCCTTTTCTTTCCAACTTGTGAGCAGAAAGGGAGCTTGGGGTGTTGGCTCACAAGGCCACTGTGGCTGAGTGCAGGCTGTTCTAGCACAAAGGGCGGCAGCTGAACCCTGTCACTTCTGTCTGGTCCTTCTGCACCATGGGAGGATTTGCTTTCTGCCTTGCCTCAACAGCCCCTGGGTGACTCCTCTCCCTGAGCTCAAGGAGATCTTTTTTGCTACATCACTCACCCCTACTCAAGCTCTTTGTGGAGGGAATTCTGGAATTCAAAAATACACATTTGTCTGCTTAGGGCCTGGTTTCTCCAAGAAATGTAGCCACATGGGAGTCCATCATAGAGGAGTCAACCCTGCATCACTGTGGGACCATCCAAGAGGTTCTGTGCAGGGGAGAGAGTTTGCAGGCTCTGAATGAGCCGGGCTAGATCACCCTCCATGGGCTTGCTGCTGGGACAGAAGTCCAAAGAATGCATATGTTTTTATCACCCCTCTGGGTCCAGGTGTGCTCAACAGGCACAGGGGGAGCATGTGCTGTGGTTCTGGTTGAGTGGCTTCCCAGCTTTTTCATCCATCTCATGGCCATCTCCAGACGTTCTCTAGAGACTTTTTCTGCCCCACACTATGGCACAATATGGCACTGCTGCCTTCAGTGGTTCTGCAGCTCACTGTTAGGACTCCTTTCCTTTGTGATTCTCTATATGCTGAAAAACAACTGTGTTTTTATTAATGTGTCATCTAACCTTAAGAGTTGCTGACTAAGTTCAGCTCTTCAGGCCTTTCTCCCAGATGCTTTTCTGTGCCATTCTTTACTCCTACACACTTTTCCTGCACAGTTTCTATGGCAACGTGTTCCAGGTATATCATGTTAACATCTTCAGCTTGGAAACCAAACCAAA